ATGGATATCAACTTACGGCGGCAATTTCAGGTTGTGTGAATAACTCCATATCTTTCTGAATGGGACAAAGCAATGTAGCAGCGAAGCTGTGAGGGGACTTATTTCCTAGCTCTCCATAATATTTCACATGGGCGAGTAGTCCACTTTTTGCGAGTGGTGGTAAATATTGAATATCGATCAAATCCTTATCCACATCGGAAAAATCGCCATTGATCAATAATTCCCATTTCTTCTCGAGCAGCTTATAAAATGGCAAGACTAGGTGGCCGGTCACAGCCGTCTGACTCTGAAATGTCATTGTTTGTACACAAGTAAAACTATTACACCTCCAACCTGAAAAACTACGGAATGACTCAACAGTTCGCCGTACACATGCATAATGGCTCTTCCGATTTTCCTGTCTTCTCGTACAACTTTAAGAAAAGCTTTTGATCCAGACACATTCAGTTTCTGATCTACTTTTTCAAGATCTTCTTCGAGTTCTTGAATATCTTTTAGACATCTTAATCCTGATAGCCATCTTGTTTCTCCTGGTAGAGCGGGAAGCCTGGGCAACGAACTGCAGATTTCTGCGTTGTTTCTGATAGAATTCGACAAAGTTTCAGCGGCTTGAAGAATACTCTGTGCACGATTCAACATTTTCATCTCTTCGTCTGTCAAATTCTTTCTTTGAAACTGAGCTGGTTCAACTCCGTTCGATCCAAGAAGATTTAAAGAGTGTGACACGCAGCGAACATCTGAAATGAGAATGTAGGCTTCGTTCACATAGGTTTTCCATTCTTACACGAGGAAAAATATGATGAAAGGCTGCCTAAAGCTCCATCAGCTGTAACCGAACACATTTTAATATCATCCTGACTCCATCCGAATTTTTGAAGTGTAGTTGTGATGAGTTTTGCGGTCTCAACGCCCGATTTACCATCCAAAGCCGGTACAAAAGCCAATGGAACAATTTGCAGCACAAAGTTATCGTCAATTACGCTCGCATAAATACTTAAATAATGTACGATATGTTTCCCGTGGTCAGCTAAAAGATGTGCTCTGCCTTTCTTGATGTAAGGTAAAAGAAACGAGTGAGCCTTCTCGATTAATCTCTTTGAGATCGCTTCTGATCTTCTTTGAACGGTTTGTCTCGAGGGTAGCTGACTTTTGGCTGCTTTCCCATATCCAGTAGAACTGAAAATGCGAAAGTGAATTCAAAAATTCAAGAGAAACTCACATAGCATTGAAACAATCGATAACTAAGTTTTTGAACTCTTTTGAGCTACAGTGGGAATAGCTGCGACCACTATTGACACAGTATTTAGCGATCGCATTCACAATTGTGTCCAGTTCTTTTTGCTTCAGCTTTTTCGTGTTGAAAAAATCAATTTTCTTCATCTTTTCTGGCGGTTCTCCACCGGCTTTTTTATCTTCGTCATCATTTCTGTGAGAGCTTTTGGAATTCATTGTTCGTTTTTCCGGGCGACGCTTGCAAATTTCCAAGTGTCGATTGAACTGGCCGCCATCTCCTTTTGTAAGAAGAGTTTTGCAAAACAGGCACACAACTTTTCCTGTTTCTTCAAATTTATTTAGATCGTCATCTCTTTGAAGTAAAAGAACTTGAAAACTATCGTTTTTCCAATGTTCTCCCTAAAAAGTGGGCATTACTGATATTACATCCACTTAAACACCTACTCTTTTTAACTTCGGATCATTTCGATTTACTAATCCTTGCAATTCCTTCAACTTTTTCACAGCGGTCGGACTTTTTTTTGGACATTTCGTTGAAATAACACTGATTTTTTCCAGTAAAATTCGATTTTTTGTGTGCGGCTTCTATCGAAAAATGAATGCTGTGTATCAATTGTTGAGCTGACTCGTAGAATGTCTTTCTGTCCTGAAAAATAAGCGAAAATAACATGCGAAGGAAGCAGAAAAAGCTTGAAATCAGAAAAGTACACGAAAATATTTCCGATACGCTAGAAACAACAATAGAAATTGATGCAAATGATAAACGCAGCAGAAAATTGATTTCATATTTTATTCCACTGGAAAAACAAGCTTCTCGGAGTGTCGTAGCTTTAAAAAAACATAGCAGAAATGAAAAAAAATAACAAAAGCAGCATGTTGAAAAATTAATATTTTTATTCCACTAAAAAGTGAGCTTTCCGGGATTACGGAGTGTCGTAGCTTAAAAAAATTAAAATGGGAAAAAATACGGAAAAAAATTCAAAAATAAAAGAAACTTTTCAGCCCGGGCCCAAAATTTTTTTTTTCGGCCCGGCCCAGCCCAGCCCGGCCCGGCCCACAGCCGGGCCGGGCCCGAGTTTGGACATGTATGGCCAGAAGACTTATTTTTTATCCTCTACGGAGCCAATTTTCAAAAAAAAAGAGTTCAGTTCTTCGCCTCTCGCTATTCTGAAAAAATCACGGCATGTTCCTAAATCCGTGGACCTACTGATGCCGAAATGAGAAGAAAAAATGAAATGTACCTATTAAACCAGCAATGTGTCGGACACACTCATTCCATGTTTCTCTTTTTTTTCATAATAACTTTTTTTTATAATAAACATTTCAACTCATAATGACGCGTTATTCTTATCGTTCGAGTTTTTCCAAAACATTTTGTAATGGAAACCTTTGAATCTATAATTTCTATGATTGTTGTTTGTTGCACAACTCATGAAAGCAATAACTTACGTTTCTACATCAAATAATTTTTGAAGAATAATATAGAATAGAAAATAAAATTCAAAAAAATCAAAAATAATGGCAACCCTCAAAGTCGGAGAGTAGTGGGGAGTAACATGCGAACTAAATGACAAAAAGATAAGCCAAAAAACGAAAACATGGGAGAGAGACGGAGATCAGGAAAGAGAACCAGGCCGTGCTTGGCTGTACAACAAAGGAGGGAGAGATAAGCACACACCAGTTGCAACGAAATAACAATTGAGAGCTGGGTTTCTCTTTTTTCTGTTTTGCATAATTGGTTGAGTATATAAATCGAAAGAAGAGATCAAATGCGCAGTACCTGCCAAAATTAAGGGAGGAGCATTGATATGAAATTCAATAAAAAAAGATTAGAATTCAACAGAATCACTTCACAAAGAGACTAGTAAAAAAAAGGGTTTGTCCTCTTTTTGACCCTTGTTCCTAAAAATCAGTGCTTTTTAAGTTTTTTTCAAAAGCTCAAATCTTTTTTCAGACAGAAAAAACACGATCTCTAGATAGTTACAAATTTATTCTACTCTTCCAATCAAAAAAACAAAAAAAACAGTTTTAAATGGAAGCTTATAAAACAAAAAAAAATGTTTTTCATTTCTTCTTTTTTCATTGCCATCTCTTCCTCAACATCCTTTTTGGGCTTGCAGAAAATCTTCGTAGTTGATGCTGACGTCATTTGAGAAGTTGAAGACGAGGCTCATCACGTGCATTTCCTTACGTATTTGAGTGTATTGCTGAAATCTGAGTTATATTATTTTAGAATGGTTAAAGAATATAATGAAACCTCATTTCCAATAAGTTTGAGAAATACCACAGAGTTCAAAAGAACTTATGAATAATCAATGAGAATAGACCCCCAAACCAGCAAGAGAGTCATGGGGACAAACATGCAAACTGAATCACAAATGGAGAAGTGAAATAGGACAAATCAAAACGAGATCGAGAGAAGCAAAGCAAAGATAGGAATGGGTGCCGACTGGTATCAGGGTTGTTTGTTCTGTTTTTTTCTTTTCCTCTCTTCATCGTCCTCTATAACGTTATCATTTTGCTTTTGTCGCTTTTATTCGTATTATAAGTAACTCTTTTTTCCTGTGGTCCTTTGCTTTTGGACCTTCCCTATTCTTGATTATTTTGAATTTATTTACTATCTATAACATTGTCAAGCTGCAAAATTAAAAAGTTTTTCAAGTGAGTTAAAAGCTGTTTCGAACAGATTAACAGATAAATGTACTTTTTTTGTTGATAAACTAGAATTTTGAAATGTACAGTACTACAATATTCACACAATGAAATAATTCAGATTGATGAAAGCCCATATCATTTGGACAGTTCTCCACCAAATCGTATGCAACACAGAAACAGTCCTCATGAATTCTCGGATGGATGTAAGTTAAAATAATTATCTGTTAGCATTTTTAGTTCTGACATCAATCCTGCTCTGCTAGTATTTCCCTTTCAACCCTGGTTCCCTGCTCCAGGTTTTTGTATTGTTATGAAAGATCCTGTATCAACTTCTGCAAATTCCTTTCAAAAAATTTTTTACAGCAATGAATGATCACGATCGCCAACGTCGTTTGCCGGAAAGAAGAAAGTTTTTTTGAAGCTGACCGGACAGGAGAAAGCGATCGAGTGGAAATTGAGGCTTGGTAAGAACAACTTGCAGTCACTGATCCTCGACAACTATGCGTTTCGCCGCCATCATATTTTGAAACTAGTATGAGATAGCTATAATTATGCGTTTGAGCCTATTTACGTTTTTTTATCGGATGCAAAATGCCACAGTTTCAAAATACCGTGAACCCGATTTTGCAACACCTAGATTTTTCAATGAATAGTTTCCAGCTGATGCCGAGTGTAGTGAAGATGATCCAGTTGATTTCAACGATCTTCCACATATTGATAAACAGCCTTGGCCAGAGTCATTCACTTCTTACCGATGACAAACAGAAAAGACAATTGGAAGCGGATGCACAGAAATACCTTAATATTAATTGTGAATTATTAGAAAAGAAGGGAGAGTTGCATGAGAAACAATGCGATGTCGAAAAAGCACATCTTCTGCTTGTCTTCTCAAACTCACTCCCATCAAAGTTTATCGGCCGATTTAAATTGTTTCCAACTTTTTAAATAAACATTTTTTGGAAATTGAGTTTTCAAAATTTATTCGTCGTGGAGAAAAAATTATCATAATCATACCTTCAGTAACTTATACTAACAGCAAAAAAAACTAGGAAATAGGGTTCAAATGCGGTCAGAATTCCAATATCTAATATGAAAAAGAGAAAAAAAACATTTGACCACTGAGCGGATTGAACGCTCAACCTTTCTCTCTGTGGGAGAATGCGCTCCCATTGCGCCAAGCGGTCATCGAGAAATGGGAGAGGGAATGCCATAAAGTACAGAACGATCGACAGTCGGTGGCAAGCAGAAAGAGAGGAAAGGGGGGGGGGGACAAAAAGCAAATTAGCGTGAGCGTCTGTTATCATTTTTAGATCTAAATTTAGAGTTAGTGGAGTTCTTAGATCTAAATTTAGAGTTAGTGGAGTTCTTAGATCTAAATTTAGAGTTAGTGGAGTTCTTAGATCTAAATTTAGAGTTAGTGGAGTTCTTAGATCTAAATTTAGAGTTAGTGGAGTTCTTAGATCTAAATTTAGAGTTAGTGGAGTTCTTAGATCCAAATTTAGAGTTAGTGGAGTTCTTAGATCCAAATTTAGAGTTAGTGGAGTTCTTAGATCCAAATTTAGAGTTAGTGGAGTTCTTAGATCTAAATTTAGAGTTAGTGGAGTTCTTAGATCTAAATTTAGAGTTAGTGGAGTTCTTAGATCTAAATTTAGAGTTAGTGGAGTTCTTAGATCTAAATTTAGAGTTAGTGGAGTTCTTAGATCTAAATTTAGAGTTAGTAGAGTTCTTAGATCCAAATTTAGAGTTAGTGGAGTTCTTAGATCCAAATTTAGAATTAGTGGAGTTCTTAGATCTAAATTTAGAGTTAGTGGAGTTCTTAGATCTAAATTTAGAGTTAGTGGAGTTCTTAGATCTAAATTTAGAGTTAGTGGAGTTCTTAGGTCTAAATTTTAGAGTTAGTGGAGGTTCTTAGATACAAATTTAGAGTTAGTGGGAGTTTTTTAGGTCCAAATTTAGAGTTAGTGGGAGTTCTTTAGATCCTAAATTT